AATAGTTGTTTACGCTTTATTGATCTGATGCAGATCTGATGCAATTTTTCGCTCTTTGTACTGAGTTCTGTGATGTAGCACCTTATACAGTCAATGACAATGTATAATGAATACACGGTCTAAATAATATCGATTGGCACATAATTGAATGCCGGTAATTATAACATCAATTTATATATTATATTATTGCATAGAATCTCAAAGATTTTCTCAATATTCATGTCTGAAATGTTTATATACTTGAAAACAACACTGTCTCGCTTCTTCGTACGTACTGTACCTCCGTATAATGAGTATACCGTGAAAATAATATCAGCACTCAATTGAATGCCTAGAATCTCAAAGATTTTCGACTCAATATTTAATACGTCTGAAATGTTTATACACTTGAGTGTTGACTGCACTGTCTAGGCGGTCTAGCTCCTTCCTAGCTCTGTATAATGAATATACCATCTAAATATTATCGACACTTAATTGAACGCCCGTAATGCATAAGATCAATTTATATATTGCGTAGATTTTCAAAAATTTACTCAATATTCACGTCTGAAATGTTTATACATCTGAAAACAACACTGTCACTCCTTCCTAGCATATCGTCACGCCATTGTGATCTACGGCTTGATAGCGCATGCGCATTTGCGCTACTAAAAAAAATCGGGTGTTCCGGGGTAAAGATCCTTTACACAACATGAGAAGCGAATGTTCTAAAATTTACAAAAAAATACAATAACAAAAGCGATTCCTCGAAATTTTTGTGAACTTGGCAAAAGGATAACAGAATATGTAAATAAGTTCACTGAAATTGCTTAAATAACCTTCAAAGTACTGACAAAGCACAATAAATCACTACGAACATAAATCGTATACACCCCCCGGAAAGTTTACTGTATGACTGACTGACTGACTGACTGATAAGTTTGAATTTCCTCCCAGTCATCACAATACTGTGAAGTTTCGAAGAAACTTCACACTAAAAAGGTTATGTTATATAAAAGCGTACCAGATGAGCGTAGTCAAAACAAACTACAAACAAAATGCAAATCACACTACAGAATACACAAAATAGTAGACTATAGGAAAATATGCAGCGTATGACAAAGGGTAAAGGTAACATGCTAGCCTTACAAACTTAAAGAGTCATTGTCAACAACAATGCATCTGTTTACATTATATACCTTGAAAGTGATGGAATGTCAACAAATAACGGTTATAAACAATTCTTTGGTGCTTTGTCGTTACAATTCAGTTAAAATGAGCAAGTATAACCATAGGACTGTTGAAATATATCATGGTCTTGTGGTCAAATATAGTAACTTACTGTCTTGTTGATCCTGTCTGGTGGAACTTGATTTACCATTATGTGTTAACACTGGATTCTCATTGTTAAGGCTCGTTGTGCTTTTGTTCAATCCATCTAAAAATTGGTAATGGTACTAGTTAAATTGTATAACAATGAGGGCATGCAACCATAAATTTACACAGTGGTTTGGTTTGAAATTTTTGAAAAAAATGAAATTTGTGCTTGCAAAAAGCTATTACAATACACTGGTGTTAAACATAAAAGTAAAGAGCATGCATGTATACAGTATGTTAACCTGTTACACACGTAAAAACGCACAAGTTGTAACAAATCTTCAAACAAGTTGTTAAAGTCTTGATACTTGCTGTGTTGGTGTAGTGTACTCAGGTGAATAAGATGCATGTGATTGTTACTCTGAGTGTATGTCCACACCGGGAAGGCTTGAAAAATGTGCCTGGCCATGGTGGGATTTGAACCTACGACCATTGGAATACTAGCCCAATGCTCTGCAAACTGAGCTACGCGGTCAGGTCGTTTCATATTTTTCAAGCCTGCCTGGTGCAGATACACACTCAGAGTAACAATCACAAGCATCGTATTCACCTGAGTACACTACACCAACACAGCAAATATCATGATTATTAGATTACACTGATATCGAAGGAACTAGACTCAGTTCCGAAATATCGCTTACTCAAACTGACCTGACCGCGTAGCTCAGTTGGCAGAGCATTGGGCTAGTATTCCAAAGGTCGTAGGTTAGTATCCCACCGTGGCGAGGCATATTTTTCAAGCTTGCCCGGTGTGGATATATGTTCAGAGTAACAATCACAAGCATCTTGTTAAAGTCTGTTCACAAGCTGTCAACAAGTTGTGTTCGCAATGTTTGTTCCCAGTTTTGTTGTAACAAGTGTGAAACAAGCTGTTAATGTAACAACTTGTAACAAGCTTGATGGTATTATCAGCCCTGTTGCAAGACTGTGCTAACACGTTTGTCACAGCCATAATATAACAAGGATGTTACAAGGTTGTAACAATCTTTTTATTTTAAGCATGTACCGGTAACAAACTTGTTAGAACAACCTTGCAACAGGTCTGATCATTTTGACAAGGTTGTTCCAAACCTGTTGACAACTTGTGTCAAGCAGTGCGAATACATCTTGTTGACAGCTTGTTGGCAGATGTGAGAAGATGTGAAATTTCTATGTGTGTAGACGATACGTCTAATACGTAGTCATAACAAGCACAAATTTTTAAACTTACTTTGATGCTGTCTATAAAAATTTGAATAATTTAGTACTGATAGGTGTACAAAGGGGTACTTGAGTGAACTGGACGACTAACACTGCTCACATTATTCAGGCTGGTAAGTACGTCTATGCAAAGATAAAGCAATTTCAAAAGTTATAGTGGTTGCAATGAGTGAACATGGAATTTCGATTTGCTTCTAATATAATCAATCAATTCAGAAGTGCTCTCACCAACCGGAGTTGGATCAAAGATAGTGTATGTTAACCTCTTCGACAATGCGTCTATGTAATCATAACGACGGATTTTTCAAACTTACTTTGATGTTGTCTTTGAGAATTTGAATAATTTGGACTACTGATAGATGTACAAGGGATACTTGAGTGTAATGGACGACTACCACAGCTTACATCTGCACAAAAATAAAAGCAATCTCAAAAGTTACAGTAGCTGCAATGTGTTAACATGGAACTGTGATCATTCTTCTAATTAATCAATTTCAGGGTGTTCTCCGCAGTGTTAACCGCAGATATAAGGGCACCTGAGAAATCTCCATTTCTATTTAGTCCAGGGGATGATGTAACAGGAAACATGGGTGCTGCAGGAAGAAGTGGTGTGAGAGCAGGACGTGTTAAATTTTCTTTGTGTGCAAGATTATCTGTTTCATTGCCTTTATGTGAGAAAAAAGTAAATGTACAGTTACAATATTGGTAAAAGTTATCGACCTATATTCAATGGATCGATAACTTTATTGTTGTATGGAGGATTCCAAAAAGAAATTTGGCTGCAGTCATGCAATGAGGCAGGTATAAAAGACGGACCGGATTGTGGTCCGGGTCGGACCAAGTCGGATTAGGTCGGTTCTTTAGAAAATTTAGAAATATCAGGATATTCAGGGAAGTTACTTACACAAATGGAAGTTTGCATTCTTTGCCACGTTATTTACACAGCGTGGCAAATCTGCAAAATGGATGGCGACGAAGGTAAAACATTTTATGTTGCTTGTGATGTTACTCTGCATGAGTGTATATCCACACCGGGCAAGCTCAGAGTAACATCACAAGCATCATATTCACCTGAGTACATTACACCAATACCGAAAAATCATTTTATGTTATTAGATTTTTAGACCACTTTTTTGAAAATTATTGCATCGAACTGCCTTATCAATATTTTATTTCCTCTAATTCCGGACCAGCGATTCTGTCATCTATGGATCCGGTCTGACTTTTATACCTGCATGATCCGACCCGGACCACAATCGGGTCCGACTTTTATACCTGCACGATCCGACCTGATCCAACGCGGACTGGCGATCCGATCCGACGCGGACTGGCGATCTGGTCTGACTATTATACCTGCCTCATACAATGTATTTTTATTGGAATTCCTTTAAAATCGTATTAGAATATTTTATGTTTTAATTAAGGAAACTCCTTTAGGAATACTGTCATTAGTCTGTTGTATAAGTAAAAGTCTGAATTTGCTACTGGAATTCCTAGAGGATCCTACTGGACTTTTGTAATCGGAAAATATTCAAACAAACTCACAGGTTGAAACTTACCATCGTAACATTCCGACAGTTCAGCATAATGGTAACTTCCTGGTCGACTTCTCTTTCTCGGGGTGTTAGGTTTTGACCTCTTTCACAACCATCTGAATCAGACTCTGAATCAGCATTTGATGTTTCTTCGGTTATGTTGACCTTGGCACAGGCATCAATGATGACTCGCTGCCCGAAGCAACAGAAGCTCTTGTTTTTATGGCAGTCTCGGTGAACTCCGGTTGGAAAGTACCATTCGGATATTTTCTAGTGAACGGTTTCACTGGAGAGCAGAAAGCCAACTTGACCAAAGAATGCATAACCAAGTTGCACGAAGCAGGGGTGAAGGTGGTGTCTTTTACGTGTGATGGCCCCACGTCTCACCAGGCGATGTTGAAATTGCTCGGCGCTCAACTGTCACCTAGTAACTTGCAAGCGTATTTCCAACATCCATGTGACCCGAAAGCCAAGATCTACATCTTCCTAGATGCTTGTCACATGATAAAGTTGGTAAGAAACACCATGTCGGACTGGAAGGTCCTAAAGGATAAGGATGGCAATGTCATCAAGTGGCAATTTGTGGAAGAATTGCATAAATTACAAGAGTCAGAGGGCTTACATCTTGCCAATAAGCTCCGATCCGCTCGCATGAAATGGAAGCCACAGAAAATGAAGGTAAATCTAGCAGCACAGGCACACGAGTGTTGCAGATGCCTTGGAGTATTGTGAAGGTAAGCTGAAATTGCCACAATTTCAAGGGTGTGGTCCAACAGTACAATGTATTCGTGTTTTTGATCATCTTTTTGATGTTCTGAATTCCAGGAATCCGTTGGCGAGAAATTTCAAGGCGCCAATTAGAAGATCGAACTATCAGTACACAAAGAAGTTTCTCGATGAGGCAAGTGAGTACATTCGAAATCTGAAAGGTCCAGATGGCCAGTCGATCCTTGTGTCAAAAAGGAAAACAGGATTTCTTGGTTTCCTTTTGTGTATCAATGCCATTGTGGGATTAGCAGAAGATATTGTTAATGCCTAGAATCCTGTCCTGAAGTATCTTCTGACGTACAAGATGAGCCAAGATCACTTGGAATTATTCTTTTCAGCTGTGCGAGCTTGTGATGGGTGGAATAATAATCCAACAACTCGGCAATTCGTAGCAGCATACAAGCAACTGCTGATGAGGCACAACATCGAAGGAGGACGTGGAAACTGCACTCCTCAAGATGATACGGAGATATTGAACAGTGTCCAGGATCAACATGAAATCAACTCTGTAGCTACTGGAATTTCTGATGTGGCGATTGCAAGGAGATATGACTTGGAGTTGAGACGGCCAGCTGCAGATGATCACGACTACTGTGATGTTTCGAACGCCATGGAACTATCTGAGTACAAAGAGGCAGCAATATCTTATATCGCTGGGTATGTGGTGAAGATGGTGGAAAAAAAGATCCACTGTCCACAATGTCTAGCAGTGTTGACAACGAGCAAAGAAAGCATTCCAGATTTATTCGTAACATGGAAAACAAATGAAGGCCTGAAACTACCATCACTCGGCCTCATCAAAATATGCGAGGAAACTGAGAAGTGTGTAATGAGAATGCTAAATGTAAATGGAGGTGGTTTACCTCATGGCGCTGGACTTTCAAGTGCGATTGCTACGACAGTGTTATCAGTCTGTGTTGGAAGCGGGGTCTTTAGTACGTTAGACCAACACATGTTTCATTCGACTCCAGGAAACAACCATGTTTTTAAGTTGATTCAATGCTGCTGCCAGAGTTACGTGACGATCCGAATGCACCATTTGAGCAAGACGAGAAATGCAGGAATGCACGACAAGGTAGTGCGTAAACAGTTTTCGAAGCTTGTGCTGTTCAAACACCAGTAGTTTTCAGCCTGGGCACAATTGTGCTTTCGAGGTAATTGCCCATACCTATTGATACAATGTCAATGATTGGTTCAAGCTGATGACACAGCGAGGTTCTGCATGTCTCTGAGAACTATAAATTTCTATTTCAAAAGCAATCTTGAATTGCTTAACTTGTTCAGACGATTACGTGATGACTATTTAAAACATGAGAAGCAGTGTTTTATCAGATATAAATATGCGAGACGAAGCTAGCTGAGTATCTTTATTGGTCTGATAAAACACGCACTGCGAATGTTTTACAGCAAATTGCTTTAATAACAATCGATCTATATAGTAAGTTCACTGGCGAGGTAATTTTCAAAAAATACATTGTGTAAGTCGAGAAAATCAAAGTTGAAGTTTATGTAAATCAAAGGAAACCTCTATCACATATAAAATACGACATGCTTATATATAATTTTTCTTTGATTTCCTCGTGAATTGTTGAGTGATTTGAAGACTGTTTAACTAATCTTTCATTTTAATTATCCCAGTTATAGACGTTGTATTTTTGAGAGGAAGGGCGCCTGGCACAATTTTATTGTGTTTTGAGGAAGCTTGCATTGTTGATAATGCATTGTCAATGGTACCTGCACATATTAGATGTGTTCGAGGGTTGACAAACGAGTAAGGAAATGAATGGTGTTTGTAAAGTGTTAATGATACCTGAACATTTTAGATGTGTGTGAGGTATATAACATAAGAAATGAATATCTTACCTTGAATTTTCTAGTACAATAAATATAATTGAAGATCGAGGTACGTAATATACAGTACATATACGTATTACCTGTATTAGCAGTTTACTATGTCTCATGAATTACTACCATATTTACCATAAATATTTTTGTTTATTTCTAGCTCCATCGATCCATATACATCTTATTCAATAACTGCGTTGCTGTATATTTTAATTGTGCTTTATTATTATATATATTTAGTTATAATATTTTGAATTGTAAACCGATTAACATGCATCTATGTGACATATTTATGTCTTATTATAACATTAAGTTAGAATACCACTTACAAACTAACATTTTAAACAACCAGGCAAGCACTTTACCTTTCTTGACACTTAAATGGGTTGACAATGAACACATACTACATTTATTTAATGCCAGCTGGAAGAACAAGGAACATAAGGGAACATTATTATTCGATTGAGATTTCTAAATGATAAAGATGAACTTGAATTTACTGGTATACTCTATAAGTATAATGCCAAGTAAGTGTTTATCAGATTCACAATCTTAGTTGAGTATATTTAGGGGATCATATTAATAAGCCTGAATGAATGGACAGTGTCACTTGGTCCTTACCTATGGACACTTGAATGATTGGATACTTAATTCATTAATTGGTGGTATTAGCCTGAATGAATAGACAATGTCTATTATGCATTAATGGGGTTAACATGTATCATTAAAAATGATAACTCCAATTTTGCCTTTCCCACCTTCAGTGTTCAAGACATTGAGAAAGGTGAAGTTGGATTTATCATTTTTATGTAATTATAAACCCCTCAATCCTTAATGTCAATAGATAATTTGGTATAGGTAAATTAATATTGCTTTATATACATATATATAGATGTGATGATTTCTAAACAAAGATAAAAAGGACTAAAATACATATTCCTCATCTTGATGGCCGGATGACAAAATTGAAAGTTCAAGAGAAAATATATTTATACTATGCTCTTATTGACTATTAATTGGCATATTCAACATTTTCATCAGTTTTTGATTACAAAGGAAATTTCAAGATAAATTAACATATCCTGCTCATCAAATTATGCTACCACGGTCACCATGCATATCCAACGCATATCGAATAATGGCTATTATAATATTCAGTCATCAAAAATGCCTATAAACTTTTCACGTTATGGACAACTGAGAAGAAGTTTCTGTACATCTTATATATCATCAACATTTTCATCAATTAATTTTCACAGAATGGATTAAATAATTCAAGAGAAAATATATTTATGGTATACATATTCCTCATCACATTATATGCAGAGATGTGAACCTTAAGTAACAAAAATGCGGGTGATATATAATTTTTGACATGACGTCATTTTTTGTTGTTGAGAAAATTGATTGGTGATTTATAAAAGCCTTGCTAAGCCCCATATTTCTAACTTCCATAGATATTTATATTCTTGTTTATGACAAAACAGATGTATACAAACGTCTTAAGAGTTAAGTCTAGTTGAAGTAGAAGTAGATGTGCGCATGCATACACTCTACCAACCAAAAACAGAACAACGAATCAGAAGACAGAATCACAGAATGCGGGTGAATTGCTATAAAATTTGCTAATGCAGGTGATTTTATGTGCCAATTTTTCCGCGTGTGATGATTCCAAAATGCGGGTGTCACCCACTCAATGCGGGTGAGTTCACATATCTGTATATACTACCATACCATATAGTCTAGCTATTGGATTAATCATCATCAAAATGCATTTAACCTTACATTATGGATAACAGAATTGTCATTAACATGCCCAGTGCTAATTTTCATATGGATCACACTGAAGAAATTATGCTGTCATATCATCTAGACATATATTGACACTTCAAATGCTTGATGTGAATTGCTACGATTTGTGTTCATTTGGCCCAAAATGTCAAAGAAAGTGTACATGTTTTGGATGTGAATTGGATTAGTGAATTTATATAAAACATTATTTAGTGTTGTTGATTAATATATAATAAGTGAATAAAATAATTAATTGTTAGAGTACTACCTTGTATACCATACATCCTCTACTCACCCCCTCCCCTCACACATGCAGAAAAAAATTCCCCTTGAACATTTAAAGTTTGTTCCTATTGCATGATTAGCCCCCTCCACTGGTTGTTTTAACTTAATGGGTTAGCATGCATTAACCCTCGGTTAACATTTAACTCGCTGTTCTGGTTTTTGTATTTCTGCACGTCTGTAATTTATTTCAAAAGTTTGGAGAAGAAAATTCCTAGCGTTAATTTGATATGCTTGGATAGTCATGAAATAAATATTTCTAGGATGGGTTTATAGAGGACTTATGGTCAACAATATTTACTCCATTTGGGCATTATGTTAAGTGTAGTTGGAATATTAGACTTATTAATGCTGTAAGATATACATTTGATTTTAACCCTTAATGTTATTTTACTCTGTCTAATGCCAGGTGAAGTAATGTTTTACTCGATCTGTCTATAATGCTTGGTGATTTCACTTTTTTCACTCAATTGGTGAATCAGACTATTTGCCCTACGCTTCGTCTGGAGTTACGGAATATACGGACATTTAAAATTGTACTTTAAGCTAGTTAACCTAATCAAGTTGCATTGCACCCTACCTATACCATTGCAACCAAATTCATTATTGCAAAGCTTTCAGTCTATATAAAAAGCAGCATGGGTGCTAGTCAGAAGAATGGGTCAGGGTGGGATGTTGGTGTAGCGTTGCGAATGCTTTTGGCATAGTGTTTACACCAAATGCACCCTGGTTGAAAGCTTTGCAATAATAATTTATACATGTTTGTATTTCCACCACAAATCAAACTTATATGTATTATACAGTACATAATAGTGGGCTACATACCAAGTGCCAGAGGAGGGCAATTTTAGGATTCTAAAATCTGATCTTATAGGTAAATAGAATATCTCCCTTACGAAAATTTCCTATAGGAATTCCTATAGGAAAAATTCCTATAGGAAAAATTCCTATAGGAATTTTGTCCCAAATTCTTATAGGAATTTTTCCTATAGGAAAAATTCCTATAGGATTTTTTCTACAGGAATTCCTATAAGAATTTAATAGGAAGAATCCTATAGGATTTTTTCTACAGGAATTCCTATAAGAATTTAATAGGAAGAATTCCTATAAGAATTCTCAAGTCTAGTCCCAAATTATTATAGGAATTTCCTATAAGAAAATAAGTTATTCTAATTTCCTATAAGATTTTTGGTATTCCTGCAGAAATTCTAGAATCTGGATGAAATAATAGTAAATGACAGACAATGTTGTTCATCACTCTTAATTTTTTAATGCAAAAAATAGATATAAATATTAATAAATACTAATTAATATTGCAAATATAAAAATTAATATGAGAAATTGGTTATACTAAACATTACAAATCAATTATAGTTTTCACCTATTGTGCCAAATTAATCGTTCTACCTCAATGCAATGCCATATGATGCATCCTACTTTATTATTTTACTCTGTCTAACTATTTTACTTTGTCTAATTGTCAGACTATTTTACTCTGTCTAACTCCAGACAATTGTACTTGAATGTCAAGGGGAAATGCTGGCTCCGAATGGGTTAACTAGCCTATATTCCTATATATGTGTCTAGTTAACCAATTGAATCACATTGCGCCCTGATGCGCCTTACTTTATTATTTTACTATAGTTTACTCTGTCTAACGCCAGACGATTTTACTCGTCAGAGTGCTGGCACTTAATAATGGGCTAAACCATAGGTAATAACCATAATTGACATTTAAAGTTAAGTTTAAAACTGGCCTCAAAACATAGTCCTCAAATAAGTTCTTGTTCTTGTTTGCTTTTCTGTACTTTGCAACACTTTCCCATGTTGTTTATATTTGTCCTCATATGTTGACGAACCTCTGAGGCCTTACATCCATACTTTGTTGATAGTTGTAAAAAGACAAATACATTTATTTTATGTATACCATTCCAATGTGTTTTGTTAGCCCATTAAATATGCCCAAATGCACCCAATTTATTATTTTACTCTAAGTGGAGAGTCTAGCACTTTAATAGAATAAACACAGTAAAATAACAAATTAGTACTAAAAGTAGGGCACATTGCTTCTAAATATGCCACACAGCAGCTTTTGCTGTTAATTATTAACCTTTCAATGACCAACATTCATTTTGATTAGTAAAATCATCTGATAAATATCAAAGTACTGAAAGTGGGGATTGAGTGTTAAGCCTAGTTTCCATTTGGTCATTAGTTGTCACTGGCACGACAAGTGGCTGATGTAATAGAGTGTCAACAAAAAACTCTGCAATCATTAAGACTGATTTGCATATCACACAAACAGACTATTATTATATTAGACTATTTCACATCTACCGCTTGTCGTGCCAGCGACAACTAACGACCAAATGGAAACTAGGCTTTAGGGTGAATTACATCTAAATGTGCTAACGCCAAATAATGCAAAATAGTCTGGTATTAACAGGGAAAAATATTGAGCTTTGAAATAGAGCACATTAGTGTGAATTTGTGAATTGGGTCTTAATGAGTTTACACAAAACACAGGGAGACAGCAAGGTAACCTATCAAAGTTGTCCACTCTCTTTCAAGTAAAATGATCTGGTGTTAGACAAGGTAAAATAAAAAAGTGCTGAAAGACCTCTCAAAATGAAAATTGTTTAATTTAAACAAAACATATGAATAAATACTGCTGCTGATTTGAGCAAGTAGTTAAATTTTCTATAGGCATGCATTAAATATGGCTGACAATTTACAATTAATCTGGCATATACAGTTGGCACTTGGGATATACAAATATATTAATAAACATGGCTAAGTCTGATTCAAATATAAAACTTTTATAGTAGCATTTGTTGAAGTATAAACGCTATATTATAAATATATTTATATCAGCATTCTAATTCCGTTTATATTGTCGCGGCAAATTCAAATTTTATCGAACCACATGCTCGAATTTCACAAAAGAAGATTGGAGGTATTTTCTTTATAATTTGCTTTATTATAAATAAAATATAAACTTATTCTTACCTGAACATTATGCAAACATCCCTGATGTATTACTAGTGAAAATCCAGTTGAATCCCATAAAAAATAGTTCTATTTTGCACATAAACCATTGACAAAACACTGACTTGAAAAAATATCGGAGGTGTGATGATCTATCCCTTGATGCTTTGCGCGTGTGGCAAGAAAACTAGACACCAGTCTAGCAGTCGCGCACATTGCGGTAATTATTCATTTAATCTCAATCTCGTTCCCCGAGCCTGCGATCCTCGGGAAGGAACGCGAGGCTCTGGGATAATCCGTTTCAGGGAGGAATCTGATTGGCCATTGAAATGGAATGCGTAGTTCAATCTTAGCCAGGATTCTTGGCTTCCGGTAACGGATTATCCCAGAGCCTTCGATTCCTTCCCGAGGATCGCAGGCTCGGGGAACGAGATTGATTTAATCTTAGAAAATAAATAGTCCCAGTGTTAAATTCTCTATTAATAAATGTCTATGAGTAAAATATGATATAGGAATAGTGTAGTTGTATAAGAAATTAAAATTCCTATAAGAATTCTTATAGGATATGATAATGGTGAAAAAATTCCTATAAGAAATAGAAATTCCTGTAGGAAGGAGTTATCTCGTAAATTATATTTATCTGTATAATTTTTATATAAGTAAAGTTCTTATACCCATGCATGTATCAGGCCATAGTGATATAGGCTATGAATTTTTCCCACCATTTTCCAATCCTATAAGAATTTCTATAGGAATTTTTATTTCCTATAGGATTTTTTTTCACCATTTTCAAATTCTATAGGAATTTTCATTTCCTATAGGAATTCCTATAGCCATTTTCCAATCCTATAGGAATTCCTACAGGAATATTTTTTCCTATAGGAATTTTTTCACCATTTTAAATTCCTATAGGAATTCCTGTAGGAATTTTCAATGCCAATAGGAATTCCTATAGGAAATTTCAATTCCTATAGGAATTCCTATAGGAATTTTCAATGCCTATTGTAATTCCTATAGGAAATTTTAATTCCTATAGGAATTCCTATAGGAATTTTCAATGCCTATAGGAATTCCTATAGGAAATTTCAATTCCTATAGGAATTTTCAATTCATATAGGAATTCCTATAGGAATTTTGATTTCCTATAGGAATTCCTATAGGAAATTTTCGTAAGGGATATTACTTGACATGTATAATGCAGATTAATGCTTTGAAGTATTCAGATTTATTTGGTTCACTTAGATAAATCACCATTCAATTAGTGTTCATACTTCATGTTAATGGTAATATTGTTTCCACCAATCAAATTGGCCCCTTCATTTTGCGCCCTTTTCAAGTTTAACCAAATTGTCGTATGCATAATTTTAGGAGGACATTTAAAATTGTAAGGTAACTTTTCATTTTAACACTCGTGTTTAATTAAGTAAAATAACTTGTTATAGTAAAAAGTATACAGAAGATATATAAAGAATATAAAATATTTACATATTAACAGATGAGTAAAAACCAGGAAAATGCCTGTGAAGGGGGAGAGTTGCCGGATACAAATGGTATTTATATGTCTTATATGTCCGTATTTTTCTGTTTACAAATCTTTCTGAAAACTGAATATGTTGGTCTTGTTGAAATATAAACTGAGAATTTTCATTTTTTGGGTTATGCAAGACCATGCAAGTTCACATTCTCAGTACGACTGCAATTTGAATTTTATTTCAAAAGCGGTATAAAAAGTGCATTGTTAGACAATATTAAGTTAAGTCAACAATCTTTGTTTTTGTTTGTCTTTGCAGATGCAGAGCAAAGTGAAGGACTTCCCGAAATGGAGACTGGTAAGTTTTTTAGTAAGAATTCCAATTTTGTTTGAACTGAATAGTCCATAATATATAATACCATATTTTGTAGATGTGTCAAATGCTGAAACAGCGCCTGGTTCAGACCACAGCCAAAGCCTTAACGGTATGATTATGCATTATGTATTTGGTATTTATGGCTATAAATATAGACTATATATAAACAATATAATAAACATGAAAATATACTAGTTTCCCTACCCTTTGGGTATAGTATTATGCTATGTGTTTATTAATGAAGTCTTAGATGAACATTCAGTAAACTGTACATGCATATTTTTAATAGGTCAGTTGGCAGAGAAAGACAACCAAATTAGGCAAAAGGTTGAATTTAAAGGTAATGCATGCTTGTTAATACTTACAATTGTTTGTTATTTAAAAGCTGTTAAAACACACACGACTCTCTTCAAATACCTCTATTTAAGACTGCAGCTGGCCAACGATCATTCACACATAGAGCCGTCCATATTTGGAACAATTTAGACAACAACTTGAAAGACTGCTCTTCACTTAAAATTTTTAAAGTAGCACTTAAAAAACATTTGCTTGCAAAAGATAACATTTAGTATAACCAACTAAACTTTGTACATATTCTTTGATAATTGTTTAAACTTATATTTGTAACCTTAATTATTACTGCATGCATGTAACTGTAAATAATTTCTGTAAATAATTTCTGTAATTTTGTCCCCCTCCCCCCAGGAGATTTGCACCCTTCTCAAAAGGGGCCGATATTCCTAGGCATACCGCCCCCGGGGGACGAATATCCTAGGAATATCTCCCCCCCCCAGAGGGACGAATACCCCAGGAATA